GTACAATCTGCATTGTGTGACCGGTGCAATTACTGTTTGCCCCATTTGAGGCCGGAAAAGTCCAAGGACAGGGAATTAGAACTTCGGATTGAGAGCCAAGGATTGATTTATAGTTTTTTTGTTTGTTTGTATTCTTTATTTAGTGTGGGAAGTCCAAAACAGGCCCTAGCCTAATAACAATGGTCCCACTAGTGAGGGAATGCTGTATATCTGTGCATAAGGATTAGTGAGTGTAACAGCAACTAGTAGGTAAGAAAAAGAGAAAGTAAGAAAAGGATCAGGAGACTACAAGTTACGCTATAATGTCCACTAATACCGCCAGTTACTTGACAATCAACTTGTGCGATAACATTGCAAGACACCGACTGACGATGCTGACATTCTACAACTAGCTGGCTCTCAGCTCCAGCACGTCTCGAATGCGCACTCACGATTCCCAGGATGCATAGCAACATATCACACAACTTGTGTGGCTCTAAAGTTTCAAAGCTCAATTGGAGGGGAAGCTAAGCAAACATGAACCATACATGGCCAGCAATCGAGGATATCTGAGAGTTGTAATTTTTGTACTCCTCCGAGGTGTGATTTTTGGCCTGGGCCAAGGAGAAGCCTTCTGCCGAAGAGAACTGAAGAAAATGGTTGTTGTTTCATCCTTTGATGTAATTTTATGGCTGCCTCCCCAAAGTCGCCACCATTATCAAGGGCCACAACAAAAGCAGGCTCAACCCAACCCCAGCGGACAAACCCTGCAACTGCAGGAAAAAAGAAGAATGCCCGATGCAGGCCAATGCGCATACAAGATGTTCTACACCTGATAGTCAGTTAGTTGTGTATAATATTATGTTCAATGGAGTAGAGGGGGAGTTACGTTTATGAGTTGATATTAACCCTTTACCGTTTGTACGTACAAATTTCGACCGCTCGCGGTCGATGACTTCTATGCGCACAGCGCTGGACTGGTTCACCGCAGAGAGCTGGGATTTTCCCTACTGGTAGCCAAGATGTACGCGCAGAGGGTGCCGACAATTTTTTTGTGTGATGCAATATAAAAAATCGCGAAAATCGCGACTTGAAAAATGCGCTTGGGGAAAGTGCGTACCCTGCGACTTTTGGTATTGCCTGCAGATTATTTCGACTTTGCTTGAGCTGGCCTCACGACTGTCTGCCCTGCTGTGCAAGCCATGGACGCGGAGCAAGCTCTTTCGCTTCTGGAGACCCTTCCTGACGACTCTGTCGCTGCCTCATCCAGCGAAGATGAGTTTGTGGAGCCAGACAATCCTGTTGAAAATATTTATTCTGACAACGACCGCGACGATGACATGGCGAGTGAAAGCAGCGCCAGTAAGAGTGCCATGGATGTCACAGACGACGACAGTGTCGCTGAGATGAGTGCCACTAATGGTGGAAGGGGACGTGGCAGAGAGAGAAAATTCGGCCTTGGAATAGGCCGTCGTCACGGTAGAGGTCGTGGTGTACAGGTACTATGTATAGCCAGCGGTGCAACCTGCACTAGTCAATATTTGCAATACTTGGGACAATGCTGACACCGCTGTGACTGGTAACACTTATGCATTCCACCCAGAGAACGAACCTGGTATCCACTTACCTGAGGGAGCCACTCCAGTGCAAGGATCTGATTTATTGCATATTGCAACAGTTTGCCCGATCGGCAATAAATCCAAATAATTATTAGTGCTAAATAGTGAAATCTGTGTTCGTTTTCTGGACTTGAAAGTTGTTGCATCGCATTTCTGAGGGTTTTTACTTTCAGAATCACCCCATTTTGTACATAATAAAAGTGAAAAATAAAAAAGTTACGGCATGAACAGTGACGGTCGGTTTTTGCTGTACAAATACCTAAAACGGTAAAGGGTTAAGGCCCACAATTATTTCAAGGAATGCACTGCATACTCGAGCCCAGTTACTTATCTGGTCGTAACTTTGGTGTCCTTTGACCGATTTTGGTGATCGTGGGCTTTCTGAAAAGCTGTTGGCCAGAGAAACACCGTGATAGCCAGCTATCCATCATTGAATGCACAGAATGATCAGCGCCACAGTGCGATTCGGCGCTCCAAACCCAGAATTGCGGGCGCCCAACTCAAATTCTCTGCTATTTCAACAAAATGTATCGCAGATCGCTCAGGTTTTAAAAAAAATGAGAGCTGAGGAACATGCCTTTGTGATGACATGAACTATCTGTAGCTGCTTCGGCCGCGAGTCAGGGAACCCCCAAAACTAGTTCATAATGCACACGCTCGAGCTGACTCTGCTTAGTGAATTAAGTTTGAATCTCAAAACTCCGCACTCCAACCTCGGACCGCCTTGCAGGTTTTTTGAGCCGATAAGTAGCTGAGACAATTCTAATGTCTATAGAATTTTGATTGTCCGATTTGGTCGAGGGACGGCCGAGTTATGCCAGGTTGCGCTTTGAAAATTATGCACTGTACATTGGTACGGATATATCCGTACTATGAGCCTCAAAGGGTTAATTAAAGAGCCAGCAACCAGTAGTTCCTGATAATTTCTGAAATCCAGCTCGAATGATCATAGGTTCTGAACCTACTGAAAGACAAGTGTGGATTGTGGCCAGCCATACGCTACTTTTGGCACATTGCAATTCAATTTTTTTTATTTAATTCTGTCTGTAATTTTCTGATGACTATTATGTTCTTCCTATTGCCGTCATCAATTTTTTCTGAATTGCAGTTTTCAGGTGCTCTGTACCAACTATTGCCGACGGCAATTCCAATGCCACTTCAATCGCATACTTTGAAACTGTTAGTTTTACTTGTAATCATGGCTTTTCGATGCACGGACCTGCAGCATCAAAGTGCAATACCTCTAATGGAAAGCTGACCTCTGTACCAGAGTGTTTAGGTATGCTCATTCAGTCAAATTGTTTGTGATGAATCCAGTCCTAAGAATCAACAGGTTTTTCATTACTTCACGTATGTCACGTGATTATCGCCTTGGAGTCAACCAATGGCAGATCAAACAGATCAAGGCTAGAAAGTGCAGTCCTGCCTGCTCAAAGGTGATGGAACTGGATCCACTGCCCGTCGTCAAGTGACGACGACGAGCGGGAACAAAATCCACTGCCCGTCATCACTTGATTTGGCACATTGCAATTCTAAATTTTTTATTTAACCCTTTATTACCGGATTACTTGCACAGCATGCACCAGGATTACGAATTTCAACACAATTTTCAACTTCACCAGGTCATAAATTAGGTCTCCTTCACTTGATTTTCACAATCTAGGGCTCGTTGGAAAGCTCTTGGAGAGAGCAACGCCAGGGTACCAAGCTCCATTATCCAGTCGCCACAGATCAGGCGCGGTACATAGCAAAGTCGTCTCCAAGCCTGATATGCAAGCAAATTCATCCCTTCAACGTCATTCCACTCTCCTTCATCGCAGAACGCTCAAATTTGTTTCAGACGATTCAAACTTCAGCTGACTATGTCATTATCATGTGCTTAGGCTGTGTTTACATGAGAAATTTCAACCCGGGTCGAGTTCAGCCCGGGTTGAAAGTCTGTACGACAGACAAAAGAGGTGAGCGTTTACATGAAGACAGTTGACCCAGGTCAAATACTGTTATGCCGCCAAAAGTCCACTTCTACAGTCCTGTATGGTCACGTGAATCCGTTCGCGCGAAATTTGCATCTGCAGTGCCGTTCAAACCTGGCGCGAGATACGCACAGAAGTACGTTTGTACGATTTTCTTGACCCGGGTTGATTTCAACCCTCCCCTTGGGGGGAGGGTTGAAATCAACCCGGGGCGAAATTTCAACCCGGGTCAAGCGCAATGCGTCATGTAAACGCGCCATTCATTTTATGCACATGGCAGGTTGAAATCTGACCTGGGTCGAACTCAACCCGGGTTGAAACGCTTCATGTAAACACAGCCTAAGTCGCTCGAAGAGCGCACGAAAAGGGATTTTTCCAAAAAATGGCGAAGTGATCGATCAAAAAAATTTGAATTTGCCGAGGTGCGAACACGGTGTGCGATATCTCTGGTGTCCGACATGGTAACTCTTCGGCGATTGTTGCATTGGATAGCTTGGAGTAGTGTTGAAACGATTTCACCGGATACTCGTTAGCTCGTTCGCCAGAAACTCGGCTCGTTTGTGCGGCCAGCTCGTTTGCACTAACGAACACCGTACACCGTACTCCGTACACATGGCAGTACATGTCGACCGGGGAGTCGTAAAATATTTTACGACTCCCTGGTCGATCGAGAGTCCAGTCCCGCGCAAAGTGAAAATCACTCGCAGTTACACTGACTGTATGCCTGCACGACACTTGAGTTGTTTCAGTTGTCGTTGCAGCTTTGGTGGACTCTACTGATGTTTTGTTCCGCATCTGCTGACCTGTCACAGGATATGCTTCGGTCACCTCTCCATTCGAGTGAAAGTAAAATAGTTACGCTCAGTCGTTTGGAAGTTTTCTCCCGCGATGCAGCGAAGACCAGGACTACTTGCAATCTTTGCAAAACGGTCTATTCTTACAAAGGCTACTCGACGACGGCGCTGAAAAGACACCTCGACACCAAACAGCAGTCCGAAGTGAAGCAGCAGCAACCCCAAATGCCGGCGGTGATAATTTGAACCAGCTGAAAAAAATCGAACTTAGAAAAAAAGTTATTCAAAAAATCATATTTGCCACATTAATGAAACTCATTAGCTCGCTCGATAGCTTGCTCGTTAGTGGAACTGATCGCTCGTTTGTTATAGATACGCTCGTTTCAACACTAGCTTGGAGTTTCCGCTACCAAATCGACCTTTCAAGTGTTGAATTCGCACAAGAAATGGTCGAGTTACGAAGATATTACTGGCCTGCAGACTTTCGATCATAATTATATGGTCGAAAGTCTGCAGGCCGGTAATAAAGGGTTAATTCTGTCTGTAATTTTCTGATGACTGTATGTTCTTCCTATTGCCTTCATCATTTTTTTCTGAATTGCAGTTAGGTGCTCTGTACCAACTATTGACGACGGCAATTCCAATGCCACTTCAATCGCATACTTCGAAACTGTTAGTTTTACTTGTGACCATGGCTTTTCGATGCACGGACCTGCAGCATCAAAGTGCAATACCTCTAATGGAAAGCTGACCTCTGTACCAGAGTGTTTAGGTATGCTCATTCAGTCAAATTGTTTGTGATGAATCCAGTCCTAAGAATCAACAGGTTTTTCATTACTTCACGTATGTCACGTGATTATCGCCTTAGAGTCAACCAATGGCAGAGCAAACAGATCAAGGCTAGAAAGTGCAGTCCTGCCTGCTCAAAGGTGATGGAACTGGATCCACTGCCCGTCGTCAAGTGACGACGACAAGCAGGAACAAATCCACTGCCCGTCGTCCCTTGGCGACGGGCGGTAGCCTCTGGACCGAGACAGAGCCTCAGTCTTCATGGTCTTTCATTGGTTACTTGCCGCGTGTTTCATAAAATACAAGGCACCGGATTGCTTGGAAAGAGCGACTAATTAGAAAACTAACAAGATAAAAAGCTGACTAATAAATAACTAAAGAGCTGGTAACGAAAACGTTCAAGTAGATCTAACCTGTGCCATTGGTGTGGGTGTTGAATGCGCAACTTGCTTTACTTATTGCGTTGATTTCATTTCCGTCTCAACGAAAACTGTTTAAGGTGGCTCATACCCAAGTCGGAAAATATAAATGGCCAGATCGATTTTGTTCAAAATTGCACAGGTCTTTAGTGTTACAGAATATTGTTACTTCCGAAAAATGGGAAGGATTGAAACACTTCTTCTTAGTTTAAACCCGATTTCTAAATTTTGGTATTTTGGAGCACTTTGCACAAAAACGCATCCCAGCATTTTGCCTCTACTGTTGTATTGTTCAGACTAACTGTTGTAGTGTTGCTATGTCCTCAATTAGCAAACACTATGCACCGGCAGATAGTAGAACACCTCTTCTAGCACTGAGGACATGTCCCCTATTATCCATTTTGGGTTTTCCTGAAATAAACAATTTTGAATTTTTCCACTCGACCATTCTGAAATACTTCCAAATTCATACCTGCGCAGGAAAGCATGCCCCTCCGCGACGGCCAGTCAGCAATTTCTACTCCAACACCACTCCCAACTCTGCAGAACAAAGTGTATTGTTGACTCTGACAAGGAAAAGCAGCGGTGATCACTTGTCACTCCAAACGACAAGCTTCTCCTTGCGCCACCAACATTTTTCGGTACAACAGTTGATGCAAAAGTGACTGAATTTTTGCGTGGATTTTACTGCAAGAGGAATGATGAAATCACGTGCCTCTTGACACAATAATGCCAGGTCTCGTAGATCATGGTTCAGCAGTTGTTCCGAGTCGCCTTGATCAAGCGCACCTGCACTTACATTGATCACCCGTTGATCTAGATCGGATCAAGTGCATATTGATGTCCAGCTCAAGAGCACACATGTGGTGTTGTAGGCCTTCCAGCCGGGACTTTCCCTCAACATGCAGCACAGAGGGCTAGGGCGAGTAGGGTCAAATCACGTTGTTCATGACGTCAGAAATCCGCCATGTGGGCGCGCCACATACCCCATGCAAACAGTGTAGGCCGCGCGCTGGTCAACTCCAAGCGACCTTGATGGTATGGAGCACGGTCATTCCTTGCTGTTGCAGATCTACGTGGATCGTATGTAGTATGGCTGCAAATATGTCTGCAAACGGTAGTTCTAGCCTAAGCCGCTGTTCAGGCACCCCCACCGCTTTGGAGTCACGTCGGAGGAAGGCAATCACCCCTCCCGCTGCCCGGCGCACAGCTACAGGAGGTTCGTACAGTGCCTCGTCTTCAGGAAATCATGAGGCCCCGTAGACATGATGAAGGAATTTATGACGTGTATGTCCGAGTAAGATGAACGGCTGGCAAACCTGGTGACTCAGGTTGCAGACCTAACCACGGAGGTGACAGCTCTGAAGGCAAGACTTGGTGATCTGGAGCGGGAAAAGACGGACCTTGCCGCCACGGTACGGTTTTTGACAGACGACGCCAGCAATAATAGTACAGCAGTGCAAGGCGGACCAGTTGGTGCACCATTGACCTCAAACGCGGCAAATGCAGGACCGGTAGTTCAACTCGAACCATACAACCTCTCCGACATCATTGCAGAGGAGGTTGAGAGGTCAAACCGTGCTACCAGCGTCATGGTACGAGGACTACCTGTATCATGGAATGGAACCCTATCCCTGCATTGCAGTACTCTGTTCAAATGTTCGACCTCTGACCTGCTGGGAGTCGAACGTTTGCGCCCTCGCGCTACTGAACATGAGACTCCAGCGTCAGGTCCAGCTCCTGTCAGGGTACGCTTTGGAAACAAGCGCCTCAAGGCGTCAGCGTACACGGATTGCCTCGGCCTGAAAGTGAATGGACATGATGTGTACGTCAACAACGACCTCGACAACAGCAAACAAAGCTGAAGGCAGTACTACCGAAGTATAAGCAACTTCGAGCCAAAAAGGTCAAGTGCTCTCTGCCTTATGACATCATATTGGATGACAAAGGGACACCTCTCTCTGACAATGCCATCCAGGATCTGCTGTCTGCCCAATAGGACATGTCAGGGAACCCCCAGCCAGACAACCGCACCGTCCTCAAAGTTGCTCATATAAACATCTGCAGTCTACGAAACAAAGTTCATGAAATCCATCATATCCTGCATGCCAATAAAATTCACATCATTATTAATGAAACCTGGCTAGACAGCTCAGTATCAGATTCCCTGCTGAACATCCCTGGATATCGGATATATCAGAACGACAGGAACTTGAGGGGCGGAGGTGTGTGCTTATACGTCATGTCCAGTCTCCACGCTCGTCTCATTATGCCCGCATCCAACACACATCTGGAGTCGTTGTTTGTGTCAGTTCACATTGCACGGGAGCCAGATGCGTGTAAGCTCCTCGTCAGTTCAGTCTACCGCCCACCGAGCTCTGGTACAGAATTTTGGGAACAGTACAGTGCCCAGCTGGATGGCATTTTCGTGGACAGCTCTGACCTGCCCGAGGCACAGTGGGTTGGTCAAAGACCATGATTGAGATACGAGAGGTACCTGGTTCAAGTCCTGCCTGGGAGCGGTTTTTCCAGCCGTGCTGCTACCCACAGTCAACTGGGAACTTGTGGCCAGGCACAAGGGGTACATGGATGCAGCTAATGGGGTCGTTTTCGGCACTTGTGCCAGTGGTTGTGAGACTTGCCCACTCACCCCCACCGTTAGGCGCTGCATCTGCCGCTAGGGTTTATCGGGTGTTAGCGGCCGTCGTGAGTTCCCTTCGGGAACGGATACGATAATTTACTTTTTACTTTACTCTGACCCGCTAGTTCTCATAGCCAGCAATCGCATGTCACCATGTACATTGAAAATCAACATAATTTTGCGAATCGATCTTTTTTTCAGGATCACTTTTCAACGAGGACGAAGCAAAGTCGGCCGAGCGAAGCCTAGAGGAAGAAAATCACCCTCTCCACTTCACCATCACGATACTGACATAGATACGAGATGAAACAACTAAAAATCCACAAGAAAACTGTACGGCCATCATCGCGCTGACTTTGGTGTGACTTTGGTCTGAGAATTTCTATCACGATCAAAAATGTACGAGGAGCACTCAAAAATAAGCCACAGAAGCACCTTTATCGCTCCCTACTCCTTTTTCAAGGCACAAAAGTCGACTCTCCACTTTCAAACCAGGAACCAGACATACCAGTGGTCCTTTTCAGCCGCTCCACGAGCGCAGGAAAGGTTCACCAAGGGGCGCAGAGCAGCATCCATTCCAGAAAAAGAGCTAAAATACGAGTGAGACTGCATGCCTGAGTACATGAGTACATGTATGAGTACATGCAGAAAATAGTCAATTTCAGCATTTCTGCTCCAAACAGTAACTAGCTTCGACTAGAAACAAAGATAACACCAAAGGATCAAACAACAACCATTTTCTGCAGTTTTTTTGCAGTTGGCTTCCTTGTGGTTGGCCCAGCACGCCAAAAATCACACCTCGGGGGAGTACAAAAATTACAACTCTCAGATGTCCTCGATTGCTGGCCATGGAGAGATTTGACCACGGACATCTTACAACCGACTCTGCATCATAATCATCATCTACTTAAGCTTTGTGCAGAACACCAGCTGCAGAACATTGTCCACGCACCAACTAGAGCGCCGTCAAACACGTGCCTTGACCTGGCTCTGTTAAACACTACCTTTCCATTGCTCAATCCAACGATCATTGCCATGTCAGATCTTACTGATCACCACCTAGTCCGCCTTGATATTGTACAGGTAGACTCCCTCTAATCCGAATACGGTATAATTCGAGTATTCCGCGTGATTCGAACTTTTTCGTCGTACCGATCTTCTGCAAGTCACTTCAAGTCAAAATCGAATGCATAATTCGAAGTACGAAAAGTGCGCCGGTTGGATAATTCGAACCCAGTCTTCGTACAGAAGAGCTGTTTACAGTACATTGGCTATGTCCTTTGAACGCTTATTTCGAAGTGAGATTGAGTTGCTATCCTTGTAATTCAAAGTTCATTCCTTTCTCCTTCTCTAGCCAAGAGTAGCTCAAAATCGATCGATGGTCAGCTGCAGGATCGACTATAGTGTTCAAGAAACCCACCTTCTCTCGAAATTTGATTCAAGCCTGTGCGAGGCAAATTGCAAAGGTTTGATTGAAGACGACTTCTTCCTGGTGTCTGACTCTTTTCGCGGATCTCGATGGCCTTTCTTGCCGCGCCAGCTCGTGCGCGGAGATGTTGGCGCACAACAACACTATTGTTGTAAATATTGTCTATAACTATGCTCCACTTCCGTTCTTCAGAACGACGTGCTGGTGTCCGACGACCTTTCATGACGCGGATTAGGCAGCGCAGTTCTTTCCCGCTGAATTATGTTTCAGGAAAGCTGCAGTGACTGACAACTTCTTCACTAGAAGATGAAGATAATGTCAAATGATTTTGTGTCGATCCAGTGTTTTGATGATCCGTTAACGTTGTACATGACCGGTACGACCACCTATGTTTCGTTGATGCAAATAAAAATGTGCAAAAAATATTCAGCATGTGATTTCAAGCATTTTGACACACATATCAGTGCATGGGGCTGCATTTGGATAATTAGAAG